GGCGCGAGAGGTGCGGAGGACACTTTCATGTAGACAGCGACGGGACCTCAACCCCGACGTCCGCGTAAACGAGCAGGGGCAACACGTTGACTCATTGATAAGGGAGGTACACCGACGTCCTCAAAGACGGAGGGGAAAAGCGCAAAGTTCTGTTATAACTGTTGTGGGATACGAAGGACTCCAGACTTAGCTGATGAATAAAACTATAATCAATGAATATGGTAACTTGGACGTACCTGAGATATGTGGTGTTACTGTCCCTCGAAGAGCTGTTTTAACTAACACTTACCTGGAAAAAGAAAAGGAAAATTTACTTGAGAGTATCTGTCGTCTTTCACCCACCCACCCACACACACGAATCCATGACAAAACCCCAACCCATTATATAAAAAGTGGACAAAACCCCAGTCACGTATAAAATAGTTCATTATAATATTTATTTTTTTTATTATTTCACAGATCAAAGCTTGTCATTTGTCAACACTTGGGAACTGTGAAACACCTCATGACTCCAAGAAAAAAAGTCAAAGAAAAAAGTCACGGAAAAAACCTAAGCTAATCCAACTCAACCTAACCTAACCTAACCTAACCTAACCTACCTGCAATGCCATCATATATATAATGTGTTGTCAATGTGTACAAGTCATGTGATATTTTCCTGTGACTTTATTTCCGTTCACCATTTTCATAAGTGGACCATACAGTATATTGTGAGTGTCAATTCCCTACAAATGTAAACGGGTTTAGTGGGTTGTGGAGAGTGAAAAATAAAAAGTATATATAATGTGTGTTTGCAGACATAAAAGTGTTTTATTTTATATTTTATATATGAGACTTAGGTTTTGTCCGTTGGGGTTTTGTCCACTGGGGTTTTGTCCGTTGGGGTTTTGTCCACTGGGGTTTTGTCCGTTGGGGTTTTGTCCGTTGGGGTTTTGTCCGTTGGGGTTTTGTCCTTATACCCACACACACACACACACACCTATATGATTATTCACACTTAACTTACAGAAACAACTTAGGCAGAACCATGAACTTAAGCATTAGTTTATCCCAAATGGATGTGTAAAATAATTGTTCAATATGTCAAGAACACAGCAGTAGTAATTACCTTGTGCTGGTGGTCATAGAGGCTCTGGTGCCGTTCAGGGTCACCTCTTGTTGACACAGTGATGACACCCCATGGGCACTTGACGATACCTTGCTATACTCCGTGACACACTTTACACCTTGTGATAATTCAAGACACTTTGCAAAACTTTACGACATTAATGACTCTTTACGACACTTTAAAGCATTAATGGCACTTTATTGACAATTTACGACATCAATGGCACTTTACGAAACGTTGAGAGACTTCACAGCACTTTACGACATTTATCGACACCGTATGAAACTATTTATGTTGCTTGGACACTTTGACACTTTATGCCACTTTATGACACTATGAAACTATCCGACTTTTTGCAGCACTTTGGAACATTGACACTTTAGGAAACTTCATGACGCTCTAGGAAATTTTGACACTTTAGGACGCTTTGACACCTTAGGACACTTCAAGAAACTTTTGACACTTCATAGCACTGTTTCATTGTGCACCACATCTTACGACATTATACAACGCTTTTTCGACTAAATGGAATGTTGTCAGACCAACTGGCACCTAAAAGCACTTTTAAAAAACTTTTGGCTATCATAAGAATCTTTCTGACGGAACGTGACACTTTATGGCATTCTCACAACATATGACAATTTATACCACTCTTGTGGGTGTTTTTGGTGTCCGCAATTACTTTGTAACACTTATAAGCCTTCATGACACAAAACACTTCATATCACTTATAAAACTTCATAACCCAAAAACTTTACAACACTTATAAGCACTTTACATTACTTACGAACACGTTATGATACAAGTGATCACTTCACAATACTTACGAAAACTGTATGGCACTTAAAAGCACTTCTTGAAACCTAAGACCACTTAAAGACACTTATAAACACTTTTTGAAACTTGAAAACACTTCATGACACACACAAACACTTTACTACACTGACAAACACTTGACGATACTTTACAGACCTCGTCAATTATTTCAGTCTCTTAACCGGCTACTTGTTTGTCTATAAGCCTCAGTGTCTTGTACTGCACATCCTTACCGACACTAAGCAGTGACAGCACTGCGTATGTCTTGTCTGGTTAGAGGACTCGACATTCTCATAAATCCGAAACCGCGAAACGAAACAGATTTAAGATGGACTGAGTTTCACCACACATGTAAATTCGAGAGCTTTGTTTTTACATGTTCTAATTATCAAGTGTAAGGTAATGTATTACACAAGAGTACAGTATATGCTAATTTTTTAGTTTTGGGATGATTGAATCTGATGTATCGAAAACCAGTTCTCAAACCCTCGAAACACTTCCGTCATCGATGTCTCAAAGTGGCGTCATTCAACTGGTGACAAAAAGTATCCAGAATTTTTTAAATTGTTTATCCCTCTTTATTTGTTTATTAAAACAAACAAATAAACGAGAAACAAACGGAAACAACATAAACCTGTATTAAACACAACAAATAACGATATAACACATTTTAAATTATTTTCTTAATCCAAAAGTCAACGCTTTCGAAGACGTGTGTGTTGCCTCAGGACGAACAACCCAGACCACGACTAAACCAAAGCTACCAACAGTCTTCACACATCTGTCTGGTATATTGTGTGGTTTAATATTTTAGACAGACTACAGACAAACCAAAGAAAGTAAACCGCTTTAAACTTAATTCATGAAAGGTGTTCAAAGACAGCATGTTAGGCGTTTCTTAGTTTACCTGTGTAATTAATCAAACAATTAACTATTGTAAGGTAGTTTGTAGCAGTAGTCTACCTTGTGATTGTCAGCAGTAGCAAATATTATGGGGCCGGGAGGAGAGAAAATTCTTCTCGCGGAGAGAGGGGAGGAAAAAATCATTACAGATGTTAATACATCTTACAGCACTAAGCTGTTCCTGAATCTCTGTGACATCCCCGACGCCGTGGAGAGTCATACACCCCACACATTCAACCTTCCGACATTTTAAGTATAAACAACAAAGCTGACAACATATCAACACCATATGATGTCTCTACACTGCACTGCGCCCCCGCACACTCAAATCCGTGGTAGACATGAATGACTCAATATTAATGACGTGTGCATCTTATTATTAACTGAGGATGATGTGTTGAACACTATACCAACCAAGGTACTGCAATATATCTAATATAATACCAAATTATAAGATATTAATTTGATGGCTTGTACGAGATGGACGACTGGACGTAAGCAAGGTAGTAAATAGACGTGTTTTATCCTCTGTTCAACTGAAGGCTAATTTGTACCCAAAGTAACCTACTGTATAGTAAGCTACACCCAACCTGTTACTTCTACGCCATCTTTTTTTTCACCCAACTATGCTTAAGATATCAGTAGAATTATAAATCCAGGAACACGAAATTATGATTATTTATGACCTGTTTGGTGGTAACCTGTAAGTCCAGGGCTGCGTTCAGGCTTAATGATGACAATATTTAGGTTTGGTTCACACAGATTAGGTGAAGTGACCAGGCATTATCAGTGTTCAGGTTGTTGCATTAGCTCTGGTGACCTAAATCAGGTAAAATAAAAATGTTTCTCTACCCACCCACTCCACCCATACTGCATCCGGATTACTTACTCGATGGGACTCCAATGGTGTGGTGGTAAATGCAAAAAGCAAAACCTCGGTTCATGGGACAGTGTAGGGGAATATGATAATAATTAAAGTATAAACATTCCTAGATACAGACAACTGGATATAAGTTTACGAACCGTAATGAAATATTTTTGTCTACATTCATCAACTGAGTTCCTTTTCCACACTGACTGGTGTGTACTGTATCATACCGCTGCCAAGATGATAGTGTCGCACTGCATATAAAACAAAATTACCAATGAAGGGATCCTACAGGCCATTGCCTCCTTCCATCAGCATAAGGTAAATAATATGCTGCCAGGTGTTTGTTTACAATTACAATTTTCACAAACAAGTATAATATGACAACACATGTTGTCTTACCACTAGTTGGTAACATACAAAACAGAACACTTACCTTTATTATAATATGAAACGTTTATATAAAACTTATTCTGCTCGTAGTTAGAAGGCCCAAAACTTGATAGCAGCTCACTCAGTGAACCGATGCCTCGCCCTAGCCCAGAGGACAACCAAAACATTTGTATTTCTCCAAGTTTGTGGGACTTTTATTCACGACTGTACATACACTCTCAAGCTTCAAGGTATGATACGTGGCGAGTTAACCTTAGCTTGTGGTAATACTGAATTGAAAGTTAAGTTGATTGAGTCACAGTAGTCGTCGTCAGGTGAACCACGACTCGTACTGTATACGTCATCATGACCAGTGAAGCCAAGGAGGGGGGGCGGTCATTTAAGTATTTAGAGGCACATCAGTGTTTGTTCCTTTATTGTTATGTTTATGTAGCGTTTCCTAAATGATACATTAGTGGGGAACTTTATGTCACCTAGGAATTCGTGAGGTCAGATTGAACAGACTTTAGTCCAGGAAATTCACTCTGTTTTGTTGCATAACCAGAGATATTAGGGTCAAGAGTTAAACTAACCAATCTCCCTTGGGAAAGAAATAGTAGAGGCCATACATGTAATCTGAGGACTAGGATAAATTAACTCAGATATTAGACACGTGAAACTCCAGGCCCGGCAAGGATGTGTTCAGAGAGGCGGTCAGAGGTGGAGTCACTCTTAAGACCATTTTTTGGACTTGATTCTGTATAAAATTTTATCTATATTATAAATGATTTAATTACCTAAAATAATAAAAACTTTTCCCTGTTTCACAAGCAAGTCCTTTGTACTTTAAGACTCATTCGGATGATTATCTCAGAAACACCTGCCAGACTTGGCTACAGTACTCACAGGTAACCAATTAAAAAAACGAAGTACTACAAGTAATACATTTTATTTACAAATAAACTAAAAATCTTAAACAACTCAACACAGAAAATGTATCTTATAAATATCCAATATAATTTTTTGAGCAGAAAATCTTAAGCCCGTGTGCAGGAGAACATCATAGGTTGGACAGTGTTAAGAGAAGGTGAGCCTTGGTGAAACTTAACATTCAAAACAACCAAAACAATCGTATTTCTCCAGTCAAGGAGCGAAACTATAAACTCCTGCAAGTCTAAGATTATCATATTCATAATCCTTCCTCTCATACCTGGGTCCCAATTTATCATCAAATTAACTGTAACTAATATGATGTTAAATCTGAATAATTTACCATACAAAATATGAGTCTACTAATCTAAGCCAAAATGAACACGAGTTTTAAGGTTATTTTTTGTAGACCACTAAACACAACTCTTACCTGACTCGACTACACACATCACTGTGAGAATATCAACCCATGCTAATATTCCTCCGATCCTCTTACTTGTTGACATGACATCACTAAACAAAAGCTTCTCAATCTTTTATCTGTTCTTTTCAGTCACGTCACTTAATGTCAACATTAGCAAGACACCCAATGTTAAAACAATCATTTATTTAAACCAATAAAACCCTAACTGAACTAACTATATATTATATTGAAACAGAGTACATAAATTTGGCTGCCATGAGACGTGGGTCTCTCTCTTGTATTTGTACATAGTGGTGAAGACAGAGAAATTAAGACTTAATTTGCTAACAGACAACTGAAGTATTATTAAGGATTCCTGTCCACTGATAAGCTACATAACGAGGGAATCCACTGCCTCGTCTTGAAAGACATATGATACATCTTGCAATATCAAAGCAAGTAACTCTTCCTAAAATAACTGATGATACAACCAAGTATAATTAGGTATATAGATATATAACTCGCAGTATAACTATATGTAGCTAGTATGACAAGTATAACAGTCCATCTCCACTCTTGAGCCTCAGTGATACAGGAATTTAGAATTAATCATGCAAGTGACAGAGTTACGAAGAAAACAATTTAAATGACGGAGGTCATGCAATGTTCCCAGTATGAGACACAGTGACAGAAGGAGATTGTCGAAACGACATGTGATGGGAGATGTTGCAAGGTACAGTTGATGGGGGGAAGAATGCTGCAAAGGACAAATGGTGAGGAGGGGGATGTTGTAGGTGCAATGCAAAGACGACAGTACATATAAAAAAAAGTAGGTGCAGGGAGGTGTTGGACATACAAGCACACACACACACACACACAATTAGTTGACGGAGGTCTGGGCAAAGTCCCTGCGATCCCCGAAGTCTCTGATACCGTCACCATCAGCATCATCATACGCCACGTCGAAGAGTGGGTTGTTCTCGTACCAACCCACACTGCAAAGGAAATGGCATAAGGTTGTTGGCATGCTGTGTGAGGCGATATGCATCAGATAAGAAACGGCCTCTTGGTCAGCTGAAAAGTGGTGATACGAAAATAAAACACTAATAAAGCAGGAAATAAGGAAGTTCTGGTACAGTTTAGACATTTTGTGATTTTTCTTTTGTAACGTAGATGTTAGTCTAGTTAATAGCAGAGTCACCAAAGCTTACAGGCATGATAGAAATGACAATAAAGTTGAAAAGTTCTACAAGTACAGCCTGAAGTAAGTTATCATTACTTGTCTCAGTCATGCCAAATGTTAACGGATGTTAAGTATCGGGTCTATGAACAAGACACCAAGAGTAAAGAAAACAGTAGATATTAAGTGATGTCAGATTCCACAAGAACTGAATAAGATGCATTATGATACAACAGTACATTCGTTTGTCATTATTAGTCACAACAGGTGCAGGAACGTTCATGCTCGGTACGTTCCTCATCCTGGCTAAAATGTTTTCAACTGAGAGGACGAATAACGGTGAATAACACTTCATAACACAGCCTAAATAGCATGTCGTCTATAGCAGAACACAAAAACGCAAATATATTGGAGAAAAAAAATGTCTCTTAACACACACGTCGCACAGAAGCGCATCAAAGGGGCAATTACAACAACGAATGTTAGTGTTGTGACACAAAAACGTTATAGGCTGATATAACCTACTGACGTAACACAGTGATGAGACACGCTGTTGGACATTGATATAAAAAAAACTAATGTATCTTATACATATATAGATAAAAAGTAAATATATAAACAGCGAGACCTATCTAGGCATATATTGGACTCTTGGAGTATTTCATCGTATAAGACACTAATGGAGGCGGGATGGACACATTAATACGCCTTTCCTTCCTCCTCGACTTTCACCCTCTTCTTCAGGAGACGATCTCTACCCCGGGGGTGTCCTCAACACCTGTGTCGACGTTAGCGGCAGAGTCGTCATAGTAGTAGTACTCAGCGAGGTCTGGGTGGTTTCTGTACCACCCAACACTGTAACAAAATTCTTGTGGTGAGTCTGTGAGTACGTGCGGTAAGTAGGTGGACGTGTGTGGTGAGTGGGTGTACTGTACAGGGTAGTGGGTGGATGTACAGGTGTGATGACTGGGTGCACAGGTGTGGTGAGAGGATATAAATGTGTGGTGAGGGAGTGTACAGAGTAGTGACTGAGTGCGCAGGTGTAATGAGTGGGTGTACAGGGTGCTGACTGCCTGTGCAGGTGTGGTGAGTGGATGTACAGGGATAACCAGTGGGTGTACAGGTGTGGTGAGACGGTATACAGGGATAACCAGTGGGTGTACAGATGTGGTGAGTTGGTGTAAAGGGTAGTGACTGGGTGTACAGGGATAATAAGCGGGTGCACACGTGTGGTGATTGGGTTAATTAGCAAAAAAAAAGACAATTGTGGTGAGTGGATGAACAAATGTGGTAAGTTGCCGAGTGAACGCAAAAAAGTAATTAAATAATAATGAAAAGAAGAGCTGCTACGAACGGGTATGTTGGTTCGTATACAACTCTTGACTTCAACAGAACAGATGTGATGAGAAGTAGAACTGCCTGTAAACACATAGTCAAGAAGACACGACATTAAAATAAAGACAATAACTGTTATATTAGAAAGACTCAGCATCGCGAGGATAACAAGATCCGGTCATATAGTACAGATCTTATTCGTCCCCTGGAAAGTAAAAGCTATTGTCAGCGTCTGAAATCCGTGTCCTAGAATGCGGACACTTTTCGGCCACTCACCTAGCCCTCCCCATCTCTCGGAAGTAACTCCTCTCCCATCCCCTAGCTCTATTCATCACCACTGTCATTCTTCAAAGTTTGAGTTCTTCCTGTACTTGAGGACCCATTTCAAGGCTTACTCAAGTTCGGAGTCATCGTACAAACCTAACACGCTCTGCTTTAACTTGGGAACATCCCTCAAGACCTACTCAAAATCGGAGGAGTCGTTCTTGCCTTGCCCAAAATCAAGAACTACCTAAAAGATGTATATTAAATCAGGGGCATCCTTCCAGTCCTACTCTAACTCAAGGATAACTTTCATGCATCCAATTTTACCTAAACTTCAATATTTCCTGCGCGGTTTACTGTAAATCTTTCCAAGCTTTGCCCCTATACAAACTTAAAGACAACCTCCCAACTCACACACAGCTTTTCTTACAACTCCGGGACATTTCATAAATCCTACTGAACCACGGGGACATCCTTCAAGCTTTATATTAACTCAGCGACATCCTGTAAGTCCTACTCAACCTCAAGGACATCCTTCGCAATCAACCCAAACTCGAGAGGGGGAGTTGGGTGTTGGTAAAGTTTAAACTTTAATCGCCCACCATAGGCACCCTAGCACATACATACTCAGCACATCACATACTCACCAGTCTGGGACATTTTCTGGGAAGTCACACATCATGGTCTTATCGTTGTACACCTGACCCAGGCTACACGACGACTCCTGTGGGGTCTGACCATTGAGGCAGACGTAGAACTTCTGGCAGTCTTCTGCGTCCATGAAGGTCGGGTGAGGGAGCAGCACACCCTGATTGTTGATGACCTGTTCCCCAGTGCAGCAGAAGGCGCCGTTATTGGTGCAGGCTGTGTGATGGTTGGTGGACAAACAGTGGGGTAAATAAAGGCTGTTTAGATTAGATGATTAGATTTATCTAATTTTTCATAGATATCTGTATTCGTTTGCTTAAATATCCATAAAAAAAAAACACACACACACACACATACACACACACACACACACACACACACACACACACACACACACAGTCTCTATACATTGCCACAAGGCTCTCAATAATGTCTCTCCCTGACAGCTTCTCAGATACAGTATACATTTAATCATTTATTTTCGTTTTTCATGTTTACTGTCATTCGTTATCATCCTTCCTTTTCCCCTCATTCCCCTCGTACTCTTCCCTCTGTCTTATCATCGCTAATTTTCATGTTTTCCTTTTTTCCTTCTTTTCGTTCCCCTTCACATTTCCCTTATTGGGCAGTTATACGAAATACCAACCCTCTCTAATTCCATTTATTTCTATTCCAGTTCCTTCTTCACTTTGTTTTTCTTCCAATCATTTTTTTTCTATTCTATCATTATTATTTTTGCCCTTATTTTTAATCCTATTTTTCTTCCTTACTGCCACCAGCCATCACTTCCAGACAACAACCATATGCATCTCTCTTCACCTCAACTAACAACCAATCTCTCAACCTACTCTTTATTTTCCTCACTATATATATATTCTATTTTCTTATATCTACTGTACATACATCAGCTGTTTGATCCCTATATTATATTATACTCATCCCATATTCATCAGTTAAACTCTCTAGAAAGTTCCTCATAAACTGTTCCAATTATTATTTATCCCCTTACTAAATTATTATATATATATCTGTTTTCTCTCAATTAGTAATTTAAATCTCTCTATTTCTTATATTTCCATTCTCTTAACTTTCCACTATTATAAACATTTCTTCTATTTGTTGATTCTTTATTCAATGTTATTTTTGTTGCTACCCGAGAATACTGAGACAATTGGTATATAGTTCTACCTGGTTTGTTTGTTTACATCCTTCATCCTACATTTCAGTGTTTAGTCTTCCAGCCTTTATACTAATTAGTCTTGCTTGTCTTCTTACGCATCCATGTATACTGATGTATTTTTTTTCTAAACCTCTCTCTCTCTCTCTCTCTCTCTCTCGCTCTCTCTCCAGACCCTATTATCTTAATACCCTTAACATCTCTCCAAGACCTTAACATATCTCCTGACCCAACCGTCTGCCCCAGTCTTACCCTCTCTTCATGTTTAAGAAACCTTCTTTGATTCTTACCATCTCCCTATGTCTAAGAGACTTCCCATGTTCCTCTACCATCTCCCCAGGTCCTAAATTTCTCCCCAAGTTCCCATTATTTCGAGATATTCGTAAGTTTCTACCACCTCCCTAAGTATATAAGAATATAAGAATGAAGGAAACTGCAGTAGGCCAATTCGACAGTGATAACCATCCCTGTTTACCCCTAACCAATTACACTCATATATTTGTATAACCTGTATTTGAAACTTTCCAACGAGTTCGAGTTCAAGATGGTGTTTAGTAACTTGTTCAACTCATCCATAACTCTTTCCGAACCAATATTTACCTAATTCCTTCCTAAAGCTAAATTTATCTTATCTAAACTAGTGTTATGTGTTCGGTCCTGATTTGATTGTTTAAGTACCTCAGTTATATTAACTTTGTTTAACCACATCTTCGTCTCTGATATGAACTCTAGTACTTTGTTAGACTTGTTTCGTGAATAAATGTGTTGCTGTTAAGGTTTTTAGGTCCCCACAGTCGTATTGTTCTACATCTACCATTTTTCAGTCCAGATTCTAAATGTTTATTGAAATCTTGTAATTTTTTCGATTCAACAAAATTAATCATACGTCCTGTTTTTAATGGCATCGGCAATTTACCTCTGTTGTTATCAATACCTATATTTATTTCGTTAATGTATTTTATTAATAGCAAAGGCCCGAGGAAAGAGCCTGCTACGGCACCAGTGACGTTACCCCATTAGTCGGATGTTCAAGTCAGAATTTCCCATCCAGAGCCACGTGTCTTTACTTTCCTTAGTAATCTTTCGTGAGGGACCTTATCAAAGGTTTGGCTAAAGTCGAGGTTTACCACATCACAGTCGTGTCCAAGGTCCACAGTTTCGAAAACGCTTGAAAAAGAGTGAAAATAGATTGTCAGACATGAACGCCCTTTAGTAAAGCCTACCATCTGCCCAAGGCGTCTACCATCTCCCCAAGTTCTTCTCATCTCCTCAAGTTTCTCCCATCTTCCCAGGTTCCTACCGACTCCCCGCGGGGGTTCCTACCATCTCCCCAAGCTCCTACCATCCCCCATGTTCCTACCATCTCCCCATAGTTCCTACCATCTCCCCAAGTTCCTACCATCTCTCAAGTTCCTACCATCTCCCCAAGGTTCCTACCCTCTCCCCATAGTTCATACCATCTCCCCAAGGTCTTTGAGATCTCTCCTGATGCTACCATCTCTCCCCACTTACTATTCGCTTTATCAGCTACACAATCTGTCCTCCCGACACTGTCTGGCCAGTTGCAGAGTCCAGTCGTCTCGTCGAAGTGGAGTCCGGTAATGCAATCTGTTGGGGTGGATAATCCCTGGATACACGTGAAGAACCTGAAGCAGACTTGGGGATCCGGGTCAGCGTAGATGCCATTAGCTCGTGGGCAGTACTTACTTGGGTACGTGGCTTCCTCTGTAAGGTGAGGGAGAGAGTCAGTGGCAGTACTCGTTGTGGGAATTATTGTGGTTTTGATGTCAGAAGGAGGGAGGAGGTAAATAATAATAACAATAATAATAATAATAATAATAATAGTAATAATAATAATAATAATAATATAAATAATATTAACAATAATAACAATAATAATAATAATAATAATATAAATAATATTAATAATAATAATAATAATAATAATAATAATAATAATATAAATAATAATTTTTCGGGTAATAAGTCAATTTAAAGCATATTGTCAAAATAAAATTTATAGCCGTTGTACTGACAGCTAGATGAGGTATATATACAGGGTAATATGGATAATTTGCCATCAAGAGTTGAAATATTTCTTAGCAACATTATGTCCAAAACATAACATGTTAGTGAAAGTTACCCTTTTATTTAAACTTCACTGATGTCCAATTTCTGACTAGCTTATTAAATTGATCTGATACCTTCAGCTGCTCTAGTCTTCATTAGTCTCGAGCAGTGAGGTAAGTTGTGTGCCAATCTTTGATGATGACCCATAAGGAGAGTGACCTGAGACTCTCCACACAGTAATTCTTTGGGGTCTAATAACCTCCAAACATGACAAGCCTAAAGCTGGAACACCCCCACACACACACACATACTTACGCAGCAGCAGCCTTTCACCACAGTCGACGACGTAAGGAGATTCGCAAGGATCTGCACTTCCGACGTTAGCCTTGAAGATGTCGAAGACAAGACCGTCGTCGCAAAAGAGGGATCTAGCAACCCCACCCTCACACACCCAGTACTTGTCGCACTGCTTAGGGTCCTCGTACACTCCGTCTTTCACACAAATAAACCCTTGAGAATCGTGTTGGCCTCCAATTGGTCTTTGGGGACTCTGACGTTGCCCTCCTTGGGGTCTCTGAGAACCCACACGTTGTGCATTATGGGGTCGTTGGGAGCCTGCCTGCTGCCCACCTGGGGTGCGTCTGTCACTTCCACTTAAAGAGAAGTCGTCACCTGCACCAAGATCTTCCTGAGGGAATGTACCAGTCTGCCCACCGAGAGAGAACTCCCCTTCCACACCAAGCGGTTCTTGGGGGAATGGGTTGTTTCCATCGACCTGCTCTGGGGTGAACTGCCCACCTTGAGGAACACCTGAAAAAAAAAGAAATGTTTATTAGAGGCAAAAGGGAAACGGGAAAGAGAGACAAGTGAATAATAAATATTGATGTCGTGATGGAAGGTTTTATATGAAGGAAAAGTGGAAGTGATACTGTAAGGAAATACAAAACTTTTAGAACTTTCGTAAATCCAGAAAAGACCTTCAATAGAGGACGAGTGTAAAGGAGGCGGAATATTTCCGAGTGTGAGTTACAATATATCAAGGACCACCAGTAAGTCTATTGTTTGTGTTTCTTATGAATGAACTGAGGAGTGAAATAAAAAATAAGATAGACATGTTGGGGACCTTGTTGTCATCGCTGAACTGGAAGACGAACTACCATGAAGAACAACAACACTGGTAAAATAGTCTAGATAAGCCTGATCTGAAATCAAAGCAATAAAACCAAAAGACCTAATTAACAGCTAGACAAGTTTTGAAAATGTGACCCCGAAGCAAGTACAGCTACATCCTTCTTTCCTCACAGGCAAACTGTGGAATGCTTTACCTTCTTCTGTGTTTCCATACTCATACAATCTGCCTCACTTGAAAAAGATGGTTTTCCGGCATCTTCGTGATGTAGATTAATATACATTTTTTCTTTAATATTTGTAATTTCTTTTTACTCTTATTATTTTCGCACCCTAGGACCCGTTGTGGGTCGATGACCTGTGCCCGGTTGGGCTATTCCCCGTTTAAAAAAAAACAAGTTAGTGGGTAAGTGGTAGTTAAGAAGAAGAGAACGAAGAGAGAATAAGGATAGACTATAATAAATGAAGACATAAAAGCATTCCTGTAATACTCATGAAACAAGATTTATAAACAAGAAAATCGGCCTAAAACGGAAAATCTTCTTGAAACGAAACATTAAAAAAAAGTTTCGCCGAGAACTCGACGTGGAAATCAAAGCATAAGAGGCTGGAATGTGGCAGCCAATCTGGGAGAGAAAGTGAGAGAGGCAGGTAGGGTGGATGGGAGGGTGTGCAGGGTGAGTTGAACTCATCCTTCGGGGAGTGTAAACTAGAGCAGTAGAGAGAGTAATGTGGTGCTTAGTGGTACAAGAGAGAGAGAGAGAGAGATTAAATTGAGGAAAGGAGATAGGGCGATGAAGACAGACAGGACAATAGAGAGAGAAGGAGAATGAATGGTGTATAGAGAAAGGTAGGCAACGATAAAGAGAGAGACGGAGGATGATGAAGGGTGAGAGAAAAATAAGACGATATGGAGAGAGACAGGTGAGGAAGGAAAGGGAAGGGAAGAGGTTATGAAGAGGGAAAGAAGGAGAAAGGAAGATATCGATATATGGATAAAAAGAAGGAAAGAGCGATAAATAGAGAGATATAGAGAGGGGAAGACGACAATAATTAAGGAGAGACGGAAAGGGAAATGGTGATAAAGAGAGAGAGGAAGGAAGATAAAATATAAACGAAGACGGAGATGGGGAGAAGGCGATAAGGAAGATGGGAATAAAACAGACGAGAGAAGGAGGAATCAAAGTTACAGGACATGTAAACATATATTTTATAGTAAAAGATTAAATATAATATAGCTAAGGTGTAACAATTGACAGAATAAATGTATAGATTATACAACCGGTGTATAAATGACAGTACAAATGTAAAAATTAAAGAATAGGTGTATAAATGATGTAACACATGTATAAATGATGGAATAAATGTATAAATTATAGAGCAGATGTATAAATGATAGAATAGGTATATAAATGATAGAATAGGTGTATAAATGATAGAATAAGTGTATAAATGATAGAATAAGTGTATAAATGATAAAAAGTATATAATAGAGAGAATAGGCGTATAAATGAGATAATAAAGTGAAAAATTAGCGAATATGTATGAAAGATATAGAATAGGTGGGAAATATGAAATAAGACTTTAAAAATTATAAAATGTGAAAAAAATAGCAAAAAATCTATGGAAAAAATAACTAAAAATATAAAATGTTAAAAAGATAGCAAACACGTAAGATATTTTCGCTCAAGTGTGAGAAACACTCGCAAATGTGTAAAAATTGGGAACATATGTGTAAAGAAAATTGACTAGTGTGAAAAATTCAAATCAAAGGTGTGAAAATGACAGTGATGTAAAAAAAAGTGTAAATAAAATATGGCAGTTTGAAAAATAATAGTAAAATTATGAAGAGAATTATTAAGGTATTTAAAAATTTGCAGTGAACATAAGAACACAAGAAAATTAGGAGTCTGCAATAGGCCGGTTGGCCTGTGCATAGCAGCTCCTGTCGACAGTTACTACCACTCTCTATCATCCATGAATCTATCTAGCCTCCTTTTGAAACTTTCCAGAGTTCCAGCACTTACTACAAAGTTGCTAAGCTTGTTCCATTCGTCCACCACCCTATTTGTGAACCAGTTTCTTCCTATCTCCCTCCTAAACCTAAACTTATCCAACTTAAATCCGTTGCTCCGAGTCCTATCCTGCTCGGATATTATAAGAACTTTATCTATATCCCCTTTATTGATTCCTTTCACCCACTTAAATACTTCTATCATATCTCCCCGCACTCTTCGTCTTTCTAGGGAATGCAAGTTAAGTTTCTTTAACCTATCCTGATATGGAAGGTTTCTAAGTCCCGGAATCATTTTTGTCATTCTTCGCTGCACCGACTCTAGTGAATTGATATCCATTCTATAATAGGGGCACCAGAACTGAGCCGCATAATCGAGGTGCGGCCTGACTAGCGCAAGATATAGTTGCAATAAGACCTATGCACTCTTGTTACTTACACTTCTAGATATAAAACCCAATACTCTGTTTGCTTTATTTCGAACATTAACGCACTGTTTTCTAGGCCGTAGGTCCGGGCTTACAAGTACCCCTAGGTCTCTTTCACAAGTCGACTTCTCTAGGTTGATGTTGTTAAGGCTGTATACATTATCAGTATTTGTTCTTCCAATATTAAGTACGCTGCACTTACTGGTGTTGAATTTCATTTGCCATTTTTCAGACCACCTCTGCAGTTTATTTAGATCCTCCTGTAATGCATTTGCATCCTGCCCTGAATTAATCTGCCGCCCTATTTTGGTGTCATCCGCAAACTTGCTTATGTTACTGCTGATCCCAGTATCTAGATCGTTTATGTAGATTATGAACCAGTGGTGTGAATAGTGATGGAAATGTGAGGAAATGTAAACCAAAAGTGTAAATAATAAAAACAAATGTGAAGAGAAAGATACCAAATTTTAAACAATATTGAAAAATGTAAACAAAAGGACAAATTGTAATAAAAGTTGTAAATTAAATGTATTATAAGTCGTAAATAAAATGTAGAAAACAAGATTGTAAAAAAAGTTGTAAATAAAATGCAAAACAATAAATCAAATGTAGTGATAGTTTAATAAAATGTAAAAAGGAGGTTAACTGTAAATAAAGTGTAAAAAAGGGTGTAAACAAAGGAACGCCGGCTTCTTATAGAGGTTGACGGCCTCTCTACACCCTGAGGCAATGGTGGGCCTCGACACGCCTGGCTGTGGGAGGGGAGAGGTAGAAGGAAAGGTGAGAGGGCAGAGGGGGGTTAGGAGAATGAAAAGAAGGATAGGGAGAGGAGAGAGGAAAATGGGAGAGGGGGAAGAAGAAGACTGAAGGGAAAGAGGAGAGAGGTAGAATGAGAGAGAGAGAGAGAGAGAGAGAGAGAGACAGAGACAACATCTTTTGGCCTCTTTCATGGGTCAGGTACAACAAAAATGCCCTCTGGTCTTACGGTCATATCTCAGGTCAAAGAGATAAAGCTTCTGACCCTTGCTGTTGGAAGAAAAAAACACTTTAAGCTTAACGTCAGGTCAGGCCTCTCTCATTCCTATCTTACTTAAGCTTATAGTTGGGAATAAATAAGCTTTATTCTCTCCGGCATTTAACTTCAGGGCTCTTGACCAGTTAACCTCTTGAGTACAATATCAACTTTCCATCAGTACATTAAATTTGTCCATTGATGAAGCTCTCTTAACCTTTGAGTACGATGCTAACCTCCCTTAGTACCATGATTTAGTTCATTAATGAAGATAACTATTTGAGTACGATGACAATCGCTTGAGTACGATGATTTAATCCCTGGAATACGATGAGCACAATAATCTATTATACTCCAGGGACTAAGCCAACCTACCCATTCTGTCTCCTCACATTACATCCCCAATTTCTCCTATTTCACCCAAATATCCTCGAATACCTTCTGATTTTTGTCTTTTCCTTATTTTCTCACATTACTTCTTATTTTTCTTAATATTATCCCTATTTTTTCTATTTATCCATACTGCCTCTTATTTCATTCATTTTTTACTATTCTAGAATATATATATATATATATATATATATATATATATATATATATATATATATATATATATATATATATATATATATATATATATATATATATATGTGTGTGTGTGTTGTTGTAAATAAACTAATCCAAATGGTGACAAGACAGATGGTCATTAGCGTGAGAGTATAAAGAGTTTAGGGGAGAGAGACAATAACTCGTGAAGGAGGACAAAGAACTGAATAGTAAACATGAGGAGAAAGTCTGATGTTTGGTAATCTAAGGACATGGTCTCTGTCTATTTATTTCTTTTATTCTTTCTACATATTCAGCTTTCTGCTTCATTCTCTCAAGCTTTCTCTCTCCACTCTCTGTCTCGCCTTTCTTTCTTTCTCTCTTCCTATTCTCACATAAGTATAGGCATAACTAATGTATCCGGTGTTACATTCCCTATTGCCTGAGGCCCCTGGTGAAGCTTCTAATACGACCTAACACGACGTCCTTAGGGGCCCAAGAGTTATAGTATTACCTTCTGTAGGAACCATGAACTATAGGAACGACTGCATGGTGATCCTTGGCATGTCGTCTGGAGAGAGTCTTTCACCCCTACATTCCAGTTCCCTCCCACAAACACAAGAACAGATTCTTATTATGATAATATGAGTGACCAGAGACACCAATTTTGGCGAAGGTTCAC